GCCGTGCGGTCGTGACAGGTGACCGCGAACTTGCCCTCCGCGTCGTTCCAGGCCACGAGGAAGCGCAGCTGGTGCCGCTCGGGCTCGGCGAACAGGTCCTCGCGGAGTGGCACCCACTCCTCCAGGCTGTCGGGCTGCTCGTCCTCCATGGCGCGGGGTCAGCGGCCCGGCCTCCTCGCAGCCGCTCCGCAGGCCCGGCGGCGCCGCGACATTTTCCGCTCCACTGTCATCGCGTCAGCGCCGCCCCTCCCGCAGCGGCTTCCGATTGGCTGGGCGGCTGGGAGGCTTCCAGCGGCGCCCGGGATTGGCCGGATCCCAGAGGGCGGGCCCGCGACGGCCAATGAGAAGGCCAGGCGTCTCCCTGCGGCCCCGCCCTCGGGTGTCAATCAGAGACGCGGCGTCATCCCGGACCCGGGAATTCCCAGGCCCTGCCTCACCCTTCCCACCTTTGAACAGACTGAGGCGGAAAAGGTATTTGTCGGGGGAACGGGTGGCTGGGAGCCCGTGAGAACCGCCCGGCCGGTTCCATCTTTTTTAGTTTTAATTTAAAAAAAATTTTTTTAATGCGTTTTTATTGATTTAAGAGAGAGAAACATCCATGATGAGAGTCATTGCTCGGCTGCCTCCCGCGCGCCCCCTGCTGGGGATCGAGGAGCCTGCACCCCGGGCAGGTGCCCTGACCGGGAATTGAACCCTGACCTCCTGGTTCCTGGGTCAATGCTCAACCCCTGAGCCACACCGGCCAGTCCCATTCTGTCTTTTGCGTGGGGGGGCTCCAGTGAATTGATGGTTCCTGCTCCCCAGGAAACAGGAAGGTGCAGGCTTCCTGGAGAGAGCAAACCTTCCATGAACCACAGGTTCGTTGTTACCAGCTCAGCCGGCTTTTTCGGAGGGTCTGCGGTGTGCCTGTTTGGGTGTAGGGCAGTAGATGTAAAATTCGGAGATCAGATCGCCATTTGCAGACTTGAAATGGTCTAGAAACTGATTCATGCTCTCAGCTAACGGAAGAAAGTCAGACGGAATCAGAGTCTGGAGACTGGTGGAGCGATTTCTCCCGAAAGAGCTGTCCTTGGGCCAGGGGAAGGCTTGGAAGTCCCACCCTCAACCTCTAAGCTCAGTGAGGGGTCTGCAGCGGGACCTTTCAGAGAGCTCTCGGTCTTTCCTGCAGGTGGGCCAGTGTGACCTGAGGCTAGAGGATCAGCTGCTTCGGTGGCAGAGCCAGGGGAGGTGGCTGCACTGGGACATCTGCATCCCAGAGTTCGCTGCCACCAAGGATGGGGCCTGCGTACCAAGATCCAGATGTGGGCCAGCAGGAAGCCAGAGCCAGCAAGGAGTCATCTAGATCCTGCCTAAGAGAACCAGCTGCATGGGTGAGGAGACCTCATTTGAGAGGTGGCCCCACCAGGGCTTAGGGGAGGAGTGCAAGGGACCCCCTCGAATAGAGGGTTTCTCGGCCTCGTTGTGGGAACTTCAGGGAAAAGGTGCCCGTAATGGGAAACTCCAGAGAAGTACAGAGGCTCCCAGGGAGAGGGAGAGATTGGGAGAGATTAAGGGCTCTAAGTGTCTGCCAGCCCCAGGGAGCCTGCAGCTGCACCAACTGTGACACCAGCTCATTGAGGAGCTGTCTTATCACCCCAGCACCTCTGCCCTGGCCTGTAAACCAGCAGCTCAGGGAGGAGGTGTGGGGAGAAGAGGCCACCTCAGTCCTCCTTACCCAGGGCTGACTTACAACTAGAGAGGCCAGCTGGGGAGGGGAGATGATTTCGATGCTGGCTAAATTCAGTGTGACTTTTTGATTAACATATTGAGTCGTACATTTAATTACCGAGTAGAGACGAGGTCTTCAGGTGCTCCTAGGACTATGTGTGACCTAAGGGGGAGCAGAAAATCATGCATCAGCGGGGAACAAGTTGCACCCTGAGTAGACATTAAAGGAACAGTGGGAAGAAAGATTAAGTTGTGTTTGAATTCCTTCGGACGTGTGCTTACTCAAAACACTTCGGAAAAAGACCCTCAGTCCAGTCGCTAGGTGCCCAGCACCGGGGCTTTCAGAAGTCGCCTTCTGTGTGGCTGCAGCTGCCCTCCTGCCCCAGCTCTCTGTACATAAACTGCCATCTGAGTCCCTCGGTGGAACCACAGGACTCCAATCCCCATAGTAAGAAGTAACTCAGGGGACAGCATGTGACCTCTCCTGGTGACACTTGAGCAGAAATGGCAGGACAGCCTGGGCAGGTCTATATTTGGGCTTCCACTCATGGCAGGCCTGTTTCTATTTGCAGCCGGGGTGGCTCGTGTTTCCATCGCCTTTGCCGCCCCATTGCGGAACCCTGTTGTCACACCCGTGGGACAGGCACGGGCACACAGAGGTCACTGGGAGGGAAAACCTGTCGAGCCGGGTTGCAGTTTTCTAGCCGTTACCTTCGGCCTCAGCATTAAGTGAAGAGTTCATGGACCCTTAAATTAGCAGGCAAGTTTTTGGATGGTAATTTTCTAATGCTAATTGTATTATCGAGACCCACTATAACTTAATGCCACGATGCTAATGCAGTATCTTTCCTGTACGTGGGAAGAGAGAGCATTGTAAACTGCGGGTATGTGAATCACGGCAAGCGGCGTGAATGTCTTCCCTGCCTTCCTGTGACAGGGATTCGCCTAGTTTACTGAATGTGGTGTGGGTCCAGGCCGTGAAAGCCTCCGATGCTGGGGATTCTTGCCGTGTGTCTTGAGGGTATTTTAGTGCAGGGGTCCGTTTGCTGGAACAGTTTGGAACCCTACATGTGCATGCTGACAAAGCGTGATTCCATGCTTTGGTTCAGATACTAGAAAACAGCACTATCATCAGAGATTACCTGTCCTGCACGCCCCCTCCTCCCGTAGGAAGTGGTCAGGTTTGGGCCGCGCCTGTAAAGCTGACTTGAGCTGGTTTGTGTAACAGCACAGTTAACACTTTTGAGCAGGCTCCTTTTGCTGTGGCTCAGGAGTTGCTCGGGGCTCCATGGCTGGGCCTCTAAAATGATATGCAGAAATGCCTTTGCCCTTATGGGCTCACTTTTAGGGAGAGAATTCACAGCTTTCTGTGGATTTTCAGAGGCATCTGTGACCCATAAAAAGTTAAAAAAAACATTTTGGCTGGGGGACTTTTCTAATTAAAGCATAGGGACACACCTCCCCTATGAGACCTGCAAAAGTCTTTTTATTTTTAACTGTAGCTTATGACAGAGTAGAAGCTATCCAGCCAATAGATTCTGTGATTTATTGCTTCATTTTTCTAGGCCTCAGTTTCATCACTTATAAAATGACAATTTTTATTAATGTTCCTTTCCCCCCCCAATTCTGAATAGTTTGTTAAGAAGCTATTTGGATATAAAAGTTATGGTCGGGGGCTGGGGGAGAGTGCTAAACTGTATCTTAAAAATTACTTTTGCTTTTGTTAAATTTTCCTCAAAACGTATTTCACATGTGTCATGTTGGAATAGCTTCATAATATTTGTTTTTCTTAAAACATTAGGTTTACCACAATTTTTTTAAAAAGGGGCCTTAGGAACTGGACTGTGATAATGGTTCCATAAGCTAGGGGTATTTGCTAAAAATTACTGAATTGTGCCCTTAAAATAGGTGAAATTTTTTTTTTTTAATATATCTTTATTGATTTCAGAGAGAGGAAAGGAGAGGGAGAGAGAGAGATAGAAACATCAATGATGAGAGAGTCATTGATCGAGCCCACAACCCGGGCATGTGCCCTGACCGGGAATCGAACCCCGATCACCTGGATCCCAGGTCAACGCTCAACCACTGAGCCACACCCGGCCAGGCGAAAATAGGTGAATTTTATGGCATGTAAATTATATTTCAGTAAAATTGTTTTTAAAAAGATATTAGGGAGAAGATAAGCAGCTCACACAATTCCAAGCTCTGTGGGGGAGTCTGTGGTTGATGAAGTACTTGTGCGGGTTAATCACTGTCGAGGCACAGCAGACGTGGTGGGTGGGAATTTAGGCCAATATCTGGACATCAGCTCTACCTGTCTGTGACGTATACGGTTAAACAGGGGAAAAGCCTGGTTCTCTGAACAATAAGGGCCATCGTCCTTTTGTATGCACGGACCAGTGGTCTTGAGACTTTTCCTCCTTGTGAAACACTCTAGAACATTTACATCATCTAAAATCCTCCCGTGGAAAGCACACCTTTCTTTACAGGTGGTTCAAAGTGCGACCACAGCTGAGCTGCTCGGGTGATTTTTAAAAATTTGTGAATGACTTAAGCCCAACCTAGTGACCGTCTCCTGCAGTGACCTCAGAAACAAGTTCTTTTTCTTCCTGTGTCCTAGGACCGAGGACCCACTACTGACTGTCCGGGAAGGATCCTTCTAGTGCAGAGGCACTGCCCGGGCTCCCAAGGCAACGGTGGAGGAGGAAACGGGAGAAGCTGGAGCTGGACAGGCCTACTGCCCGGGGGACGCCTACCCCTACCCACCGATCTGTATGACTCTGGGAACAGACCGTGGAACTTCCCAGAAGAAAGCTGTCGGGTGAGAAGAGCAGTTGTCTGATCTGAAATGACCTGTGAGCCAAGAGGGGCAGCAAAAGGTAAGCCTCCCCGAGGCCTCGGCGAGGAGGTGGACGAGCTTGTCCACTTGTATGGCCTTGAAGATGATGACGAACTAGGGGACGAGCTCGTTAACGAGAACACGCCCAGGATAGAAGTTTCCGAATACCCTCCTTTCGAGGCAGCGAGGAGAGAGCCAGCCGCGGCGCAGAGGGGCTGGGGACTCGCTGCAGAGGCTGCTGAGGCCGAGGACCTGGACTTCGGAGGGTGGGGCTCGGCGGGCCAGTGCGAGGCCCTGCGGGAGGCCTACCGGTACACGCAGGGCCGGGCCAGCGAGGAATACGAGTGCTATGTCATCCCTGAGGAAGAGGGCGAGGAGGAGGCTGCCGATGTCTTCTGTGTCACCTGCAAGACTCCAGTGAGGGCGGTGGAGAAGGCTTTGGATGAACACAGGGAGCACGAGGTGACCCCGCTCAGCACGGCCCTGGAGAGCGCCAAGGTGAGCGGGTCCCGTGGGTTCTTTCTCTTGGCACTGCACCTGGTCCTCAAGTAACAGGCCGGGAGTAAATCTGATGCCTTCCACAGAAGACGGAGAGAGGGGGTTAGCGTTAACGCCTTGCGACTCCGTTTGACAGGATGAAATTCACAAGAACATGTACAAGCTGGAAAAGCAGATTATCGAGATGGAGAACTTCGCCAGCCACCTGGAGGAGGTCTTCATCACCGTGGAGGTGAGAGCACGCAGGGGAGCCCATGGGACGCGTGCTGGTGTCCCTGTTACCCCTCCCTGCCCCTGCCCTCCCACAGCACCCTGGGCATGTGCCTCATGGAGCGATCGCCTGGCAGCCTCCTTACAGAACTATAAGCTCTCGGTGGGGAGGCTGCATCCTCTGCATCTCTGTCCCCAGTGTGACTACAGGGCAGGACTCTTGTGTGGGCCAACCGTGACAGGGCTTTGCAGACCCCCATCCTGTCACTGATCAGTGTGCCTCTCCTCAGCCGTTACCTATTTCTCATAAGATCAGTAAGTTCTGTGTGTGTCCTCAGACACATCCCAGAGCCCCGGGCGCGCCCCGTAGGTCTGCAGTACACCGCTGTTGGTTGTCACGGTGATGGGAGAGGCAAAACAGAGGTGGCTGGAAGGGGAGGTGGGTGGCTAAATGCTGCCAGGAGAGAGGGCAGTGCTTTTTGTTAGGGTTACCCCTGGGGTTCTAGCCGGTGACTCCTGGTCCCAGCTCCCCCTGCGTCCACCCCAGCACCTTGGCAAGAAATGATAAGATGACAGTGAGGGACTAAAATGTCTGGGTAGATACATGCACGAGCCCCAAATGACTGTCGTTGACCCACCATGAGGTCTCTGTCTTGCAGGAGAATTTCGGGCGGCAAGAACAAAATTTCGAGTCCCATTACAACGAGATCTTGGAAACGCTTGCCCAAAAGTATGAAGAAAAAATACAGGCTCTAGGGCAGAGAAAAAAAGAGAAGCTGGAAGCCTTGTATGGGCAGCTGATCAGCTGTGGAGAAAACCTGGACACCTGTAAGGAGCTGATGGAGACAGTGGAGGAGATCTGTCACGAGGAAAAGGTTGACTTCTTAAAGGTAAGTCGGGAAGTGAGGGGAAATAATCACCGTAGTGGCAGTTGTGGCCGGAGTGGGTTAGAGTGTCCCCTCTGCCCGGCGGTGTGGGCATCAGTGTTTACGGTCAGCATCCACTTGTCACCCACGAGTGGCCAGGTGAGCTCACACATAGCCCACCCCTTCCCTCCACCATGGCCCAGGTAACCCAGAGTCTCTGTTCCTCCATCCTGGTTGCCTCTGTCTCTTCCCCCTGGAGCTGAGCAAACACAGTGCTTGGAGTTTCCTGGCACGTCACACGGCCTCTTGGAGCTCTGGGGAGAAGACCGTGCAGGGTAAAAAGTCACTTCGTTTCCCAGTTACAAGTGCACTGATGATAAATCTTCATAAACTCAGGCATGCCAAAAAATCCGTTTCTTAATTTCCTCGAAATGTAATTAAATCCTCCGCCAAGCCCCCATGCAGCTGGGCTGTGAGAATCTCATCTCGGTCGGAGCTCGGTCCCCACAGGAACAGGGGCAGTTGTGTCCAGATGTGCGGGAGGGGCCTGAGCCTCCAAGCTTCCTGTTTGTCACATGTGGCCTCGACACTGACCAAGCTCATCGTGGTCCTCAGATCCCAGCAGCACCTCCTTCCAGCCGTGCTTGGGGCCAGGGACCTGTGACTGAAGCTGGAAAGCAAGTGGGCCGGCACCTCCAGAGCTCAGTGCTCAGACCTTTTGAACCAGTGGTCCCTTGTCCATGACCCCGCTGTGTCTCGAGAATAATCCAGAAGGTGGAGAGAGAGAAGCGTGAGGGTGTCCCTCTCATAGAGTGGTTTTGTTAGAGCATGGGGTACGGCTGGATTTTTGTCTTTTATCAGTTACCAAGTTTTGTAAAATATATTTTTATTGTTATATAGCATTAAAAACTTTATTTCCAAAATTACTTTAACATTGTCTCCCTATCTCCTTTCCAGGACGCCATGGCAATGGCTGACAGGTAACACCTTTGTGTTCTTACATGTACCTTCTCCTGCCCCTTGGTTGAATGCTCCCAGTCTCAGCTCTGTGTGTCCCTAAGATTAAACGGCACTGGCTTCCGAACAACGGTGTGCGGTCGCCAAGACCCTCTAGCACCGAATCTCAGAATCTTAGGGCTGGAAGGGAGCGTGTGGTGAGGCCCAGCCAGCAGGCCCGTGGTCAGATCTCCCCCACGAGCCCCATGACCCACCAGGAGCTGAGATCCAAAGAGTGTCCCAAGTGTGCCCAGCTGTGCCCGGACCCAGACCGTGTGCTACAGAAAGCACATATACCATAGAGTCAGACAGGAGTTCAAGTCCTGCTGCCCCATGACCGTGGGTGTCCAGCCAGTCTAGGATCCACCTTCTTAGCTACACACAGGGACTGTCTTGGAGTTAAATCAGTGTCTGCAAAGCAGCATGAGCACTGAGGCTTAGGAATGGAAGAGTTAGTCATGTGGATGCTGGCAAGAGACAGGCCTAGGTTCAGTGCTGTCCCTGCCTCTCAAAGCCTGTGGCTGCCAGGAGGCAGGTGTAAAGAAGACCCAGAGCCTGCCGCTCGGTGGGCCAGCTGAGGGCATTTGGAGAGGAATCCCCAGGAGTCTGTGCATTTCGGGCCTGGGCGGTGTAGGGGAGGGGTCCTCCAGGGGGTGTGGGTCTGGAGCTTGGTGCACATCTCCCACCCCTTCCGTTCCCCTCTAATGCACAGACCAGCCCACCAGCCCCATTGGCGACCTGCTGGGGCAGCCACTGGAGAAGCAGAGCCTTCCTCCTGTGTTACCAGTGGCCCAGCACAATAGGGAGACCCCAGGAGGCTGCTCTGCATTCTCACAGGCACGTCTTTTTATACTGACAGACTCAGAACATTCCTGGAAACGGAAACGGATGTGGGCATCTCCTCACAGCCTGCCTTGGAGGATCAGACCTTGGACTTCTCCGACGTGGAGCAGCTGCTGGGCTCCATCAACACTGTCCCAGGTGCTCACCTCCCTCCCCCTGGCGCGGACGCCACCGCACGTTCCCGTCTTCCTGAGCTTTGAGGTAGAAACTCGGATGGCTGGAAAAATCATAAAGATTTAGAAATGGATTTTCCCCCAAGCTCCATGTTTTTGTTTTTATAGCTTGTAAGGGTGAGAACAGAGCTGACCTCCCCGGGTGAGTGCCCACCCTCACTCTCCAGGGTGCCAGCGTCTGTCTCAAAACAGTGTCTATTCATAGCTTAACCAACTTCATAAACACCTGTTCTGCTATCTGATTTACACCAAGCAAGGAGCCCGATTTCATGTTCATAACTGGGACAGTGGTTACGAAATGAGCTTGAGGAGCTGGCGAGAATCCCAAGTTGGCCACTTCTAAGCTGTGTGACCCTGGACAGCTGCCTAACCACTCTGAGCCTCAGTTTCCTCATCTGTAAAATGGACGTGATACGCCTTGTGGGGACAGGGTGGGCATTAAACGAGGTGCTCTGTGTGAGGCACGTCACAAGGTGCCAGGTAGCTCTCAGAACCGTCACTGTGGTCACTTATTTCTGAGACGACTAGAGAATTCAGCTGCTTGTGCCTCAGCTTCCCTGCTGTGGCACCAGCAGCACTGTGAGCAATGCTGGGAATCTCCTTTCAGCTTTTTCTTTTACGCAGATTTTTCAAAGATAAAAATGGAATAGTTCTGCTTTGTAATCTGCTTTTCTTAGCAAAACAATTATGGTGCATATTTTCTCTTGTTGATTAATTTTTCTGCAGCATGGTTTTTAAAAATCATGTTTATTTATTTCTCAACTGTTGGGTGTTTGGTATTTCTAGGTTTTTGCCACCATGAACCATGTGGGAATGAATGTCCTCAGTTGTGTATCTTGGGGCCATTCTTAGACTCACTGGGGGCAGCAGTGCTGGGTCCTGCTCCCTGCCCCTGTGGATGGCATGGAAGGGTCAGAGGATCCATACCCAGGGCAGGACTTGCGAACCGTATGCCAGCCTGAGTCCCTGTCACTGGCCACTCCCCAGGCTCATGTGTGTTTGTCAAAGCAGGAAGGGACACACTGGCTGTGGCCTGCAGCTCCTGGTTGGGAGGTTTAGCCTCCCTCCCTTGTCCACTCTGGCTTCCGCCCCCATCTCCTGAGCCCACCGGTGCACTGGGGGATCAGTGGTCCTGTGAAAGGGGCCATCCCATCCTTCTAGTGAAGCCGCCTCATCAGTGTTCATTTTCTTCCCTTCCCCTTCTCTAGCTCCTTCTGCCCCAGTGATAAATCCGCAGGCCCCCAACTCGGCCACGGGCTCCTCTGTCCGCGTGTGCTGGAGCTTGTACTCTGACGACACTGTGGAGAGCTACCAGCTGTGCTACCGGCCAGTGAGGGACGGCTCGCCTGGGAAGGACCAGGCAGGTGAGGCTCCGCCGGGACACAGCCACACTCCAGGGTGATGATGGCCCCTCGGAGGCCCTGGCCCTGTGAGAAACTGGAGGATTGGTCTGCAGACCCCATTCCGGACTGAGCAGCCCTGGGAGTGGTCTCCACTGTGGGCAGCTCTTGGCCCAGCCTCTTCCCAGGGAAATGGGGCTGACTGGTGTGAGGCGAGGGCTGGGGTCGCTGCCTCCCCTGCACCCTCCCCCCACGGATAAGCCTTTTTCCTGCTGAGAAGGGAGGTCAGGCAACAGAGGAGCCCCAGCTGAGCACCTGAAGAAACCGGATCAGGGCCGGCCTGACAGGGAGCTTCCTGTGTGCACGGGGTCAGAGTGAGAGTGGGAAGGGACTTAGAGATTTCCACTGTGTGGATACGGAGACCCAGGGAGAAATGAGCTGTCCATGGGGACGTGAGTTTCAGAGGCACCGCAACAAGAATCGAGTCTGCAGGCTCCCTGCCCAGAGCTCTGGCCGTTGTACCAGTTCATGCAGGAGGGTCCTGAGTGCCAAAGGGGAGGATGGTGTCCTGCCCAGCGACCAGGAAAGGAAGGGAATCTTTGAGAAAGTGAGAGGTTTAAGCGGTGATGTGGGAGGCACAGTGAGTAGGGAACCATGTGGCCTGTTTTAGGGTGGAATTCTTTTTCCCCCCCAGAGTTTACAATGACCGTCAAAGAAACTTACTGCTCGGTGACAAACCTGGTGCCAAATACGCAGTATGAATTTTGGGTCACCGCTCAGAACAGGGCTGGTGTCAGCCCTGCCAGTGAGTGCGCGGTGTACATGACAGGTAAGGGAGCACCTGTCCTGCAGCAGGCCCTTCCTCAGGGCACACAGGGTCCCGGCTTCCTCGATGGGGTGGGGATCTTGGTTTCGTTTGGATGGATGGGAATAGCTGTGTATTTTTTTTCTTTTATCTAATACACCAAATCCACAGACACTTACCTCTCACACTCTGGAGGCTGGGAGGTCCCCAGGGCCACAGACTGTCCGGTGAACCCGTCCTGTGCCAACGTATCCCCCGTGGAGGAAAGGGGCCAAGGAGCTCTTTGGTTCTCTTTTATAAGAAACCCCTTCCACCATCATGACCCAATTGCCCCCCCAAAAAACTCCAAAAGCCATACACTGGGGGCAAGGTTTCAACATAGGAATTTGGGGTCACACACACTCCGTCTGTGGCACCTGGTTTGCTTTTTGTCGTCCTAAATGTCTTGTGGAAAGAGTGGTTGTGATATTGTCCGTGCTCTGGACAATGCTGTGGGTGCGAACAGAATGGTGGTTCCCTCTCCCTCTCTCCTGCGTCTAGCACCTTCTCCCCCCGTTATAAAGAGCAAAGAGGTAAGGAGCTGCGAGGAAGCCGCACTGATTTGCTGGGAGTCTGGGAACCTGAACCCTGTGGACTCGTACACGGTGGAGCTGACCCAGGCCGAGACGCCAGGAGCCGCAGGCGTGACTGAGTGAGTCCTGCTCGGGAGGTGTGTGGGGTCTGCAGAGGCCGGGACTGTGACTCACAGGAGCCTGAGCTCTGGGTGCCGAGTTCTGCTGGGAAGTAGCAGGAATGGGTCACTGAGCTGGCTGATGCGTGAACGATTAGTGAATAAGTGGCTAAACCCCAGGTTTGCTTTTTTAGCCCAAAGGTTTACCGTTCATTCATTCAACAAGCATCGAGGGCCCAGGCAGTGCCAGGGCTTTGCGTGGGCTCCGGTGAACAGGACAGAGATTCCCTGCCCTTGAGCTGACAGTGGGGGAAACAGACAAGAAACAAGAAAACAAAGAATTGCATAAAAGTGTTCTCTGAAGAGAAGGAAATGTAATGAAACCCGAATATGGTGGAGGCAGGAAACCCCTCTGGGCAGAGCCGATGTTTAAACCGAGACTGAGGGTGGGAAGGACACAGGTCTGAGAGGAGGGGATGCAGGGGCGCCCCCGGGGAGGCAGCTGCACAGCTTGATGTGCAGAAGCTAAACGCCCACCTTGCTGGGGTGGAAAGGGGAGCAGGAGAGCAGCAGGAGGCAGAACAGAGCTCAGAGCTCAGTGTTTGGAGGACATCGTGTCCGGGGTAGGAGGCTGCCTGGGAAACACGGATGTCCCCTTAGTTTGAAGGGAGGCCTGGTGCGTGGGCTCGGGATGACAGGCTCCGCTTCCTGCTCAGGTCTGTTGTGGGCATCCCCACCTGCGAGTCCCTGGTGCAGCTGCAGCCCCGGCAGAGCTACACGATCTACGTGCGCGCCCTCAACGTGGGGGGCCCCAGTGCAAGAAGTGAGCCTGTCACAGTCCACACCACAGGTCTGCACCCAGCCACACACTCGCAGGGACCCAGTAGCCACCTGGTGGCAGGCTCAGTGCTGCTAAGACTGGCTGCTGAGCACCCACCTGGATTTGTTCCTCTGCAGGCAGCTACTTCCGCCTGAGTGAGCAGACCTGCCATCCCTGGCTGACCATTTCTGAAGACGGGCTGACAGTTGTACGAGGCGAGAGGAAGACGTCCGCAAGGGCACTGCCCCCCAGCGACATGCGCTTTAGCAGGTAGGCCCTGTGTCCGCTGCTCACTAGAACATTCTGTGAACCTCCCTGGTACACGCTGTTGTTCAGGTGAAACTGGATTAAGACAAATGCAGCCTTGAAGGGGGAAGAAATCCCAGAAATAAACGAGGGGACAGGGGCCTGGTGGTGAGGAGGGGCTGGTGTGGGCAGAAGGGACCTGTAGTGGCCTCTGAGGTCAGCCCTGGGCTGCGGGACCTGGGAGGTCAGACCACCAAACTGAGGCTGAGGGTCATAGGGTCAGTCCGTGGGAGAGAGAAACGGGGTCTCTAGCATCAGTCAGGTGAGCTTGGCGAGCTCAGGGTGTGCCACGTCACAGGTGAGGTGTTCACACCAGCAGTTGTTGTCACCCACCTGCACAGCCAGGCATGGGTCCCCTCACATCACACGTTTCCACTTCCTAAACCCAGGTGTGTAGCTGTTATGGGAAACCTCACTCCAGTCCGAGGGCGCCACTACTGGGAGGTGGAGGTGGAGGAGCGCCTGGACTACACGGTGGGTGTGGCCTTGGAAGATGTCCCTAAACAGGAAGACCTGGGAGCAAACTGCCTGTCCTGGTGCATGAGGCACACGTGGGCGTCGCCAAGGTAAAGCACAGTGTGGATGCCCAAGACTAATGCTGGCTTTTGAAGGAGCAGAGGGAGAGGTTTTCACTAGCAGTAATCAAGGCTACAGTGTCCGCTATAAAATAGCCCAAGGTCTTTCAGGATTCGTTTCCCACCCTCCCCCTGAAGCGCCACTGGGAAGGGAAGAGCAGCTTCCGGCAGTTCCCTCTCAGATAAAACAGCTCACGTGCACGGAGAGCTGCTTGGGTGCCGAGCACTGTTCTACACCCGTAATGAACTCACGCTTACATCTCACAAGTGCATCATCCTCTCTTAAAACTAAGAAAGCTAAGCCTCACAGTAGTGAGATGGCCCACCCAACGTGGATTGAGAATCCCTGTTTCAAATCTCTTTATTGCAATGGATTTTGAACCTCAAAATCCAAAATTTTAAAACATGTGTTGTGTCTATACAAACAGATGCAATGAGTTTGTAATATCGTACCTGTCTTAGGTTAAGAGGCTGCTCAAAAACAAAGTTTAAATTATACGTTTCTTAGGACAAACTTTAGAAAAGAGATATAGAGAATAGTCGTAGAAACGGCTTGTTATTGGGTAGTCATTAATAAAAGTAATACATCAGAGGAGTGTTTGAGTAAAGCTATAGAAAATGCTCTGAAAATGGCCATCTACAGAATTTCTGAAAATGTTATATATCTGTATTTCAGGCATAAGTATGAATTTCTACACAATAAGATGACGCCAGACATAAGAATAACAGTTTCCCCAAAGAAGATTGGTGTTCTGTTAGACTATGAAAATTCGAAATTGTCCTTTTTCAATGTGGACATTTCCCAGCATCTGTACACATTTAGCTGTCAGCTTCCCCGATTTGCACATCCCTGTTTTTCTTTGGAAAAGCCTGGGTCTCTAAAGGTACTCAATGGCATTTCAATGCCAAAGCACGTCACCTTCTACTAGGCCATCCTGATGCCCAGCTCAGTCCCTGTACCCACCCCTCCCTCAGCCACTCACCCAGCACAGTTCTGTGGCTCACACGTGTGTGCTGGCCCCGCTTCCTGACCTGGGCTTTGTCCTGCGTGCCGCCCGCCACCTGCGTGATGCTGTCCTCCGTCATTAGCAGGCCTGGCTGTCAAGTGAGGGCTCAGACTGAATAAACTCAGAGGTTCTTCAGCTTGTCAAATTGCTGGTCTATTTGTGTTTATGCAAAATATGAGTCTCCAAGGCCTACTGAGCTGGGGAGGGGAGCAGTGAGAGAGGCATGAGTGTCAGTGGCTGCAGCAGCCCCAGGAGAAGGCAGGAGGCTGTCCACAGGGAACCAGAAGCCTCGTGTCTGTCTCCTCTCCTGTCTCCCAGTAGTCAGCGGCACTGTGATGAGGTTCCTCCCAACAACTCTTGGTAACGCCTGCACCTCCTTCCCAGTGCTTACCCCATTTTTTTTTTTTTTCAATGTTTTTATTGATTTTAGAGAGAGGGATAGAGAAATAGTTAAAATCTTGTCACCTAGAAGGTTTTAGTAACATTTTATTTGACCAAAAATAAAACCATCTAGAAGTGGCTTTTTGACATTTAAAATCCACTTAATTTAAGCAAGGCAGATGACCAATCACAAGCATCACGATTATTTATCATAAATAATTGTTGTTTAAACAGAAGTCTAGAACAGAAGCAAAACTTTTGGGTTTTTTTTGTAAAATATTTTGATTCCTTAAAATGCCATAACCTGCTGAAACGAAACTTCAACAAGGGACAGGATTTACCTCAAGGCCACGTTCACCAGCAACCTGTTAAAAAAAAAAAGATCTTTAAAAAGCCAGACCATTGTAGCCACAATCCCTGACCCTGGGCAGTTAGAACAGAAGACATCGAAGTCTGTTCTTTCCTTGGCTTTACCTGTCACTTTATACTGAGCAGTTATTGACATAAGCTTTTGCTCCCATCCACAAAGGGGGAAAAATGTGAAGAAAAGCACAGAATCTTGGTGTAAACCAACGTTGGGAATACTGAGAATTTAAGGCACCCTTATTACACGGGACTGGAACGTTGGTTAGATGTGGCCTATCAAATGACACTGGTCTCTGGTACAATTAGGTTGCCTTTTATTTGGAAAAGTGTGTTTAATGATGGCTCCCTGCTGGTTCAGACAATGACGTGATCACAGGCACAGACCAACAGACTATTCCTGAAGCGCATCGAGTAAGCAGAGCAACAAGGCCTTTTACTCAATACTCCTCACCTCCAAAATTTGTTAAAATTACGGCTCACACACTGGCAGGCGCCCCCAGCACCGTTCACCACTTGTCCTTCTGCAACTGCGACGCTGTGGGTCTGTCCAGGGAGGCTGAGCGACCAGAAAACTTCCTGGACGCCCTGAGGACCGCACCACAGGGAAGGCCTCTCCTCCTCTTTCCAAACCAGCGCTCCCATTTCTGGTCCCTTCCTCTCAATGACAGGAAGATGCTCACGGGTTCACCCCCCTCCACCCTTTAATCCGTAAATAGACGACGGGAAGTGCTGTCGGTGGGTCAGTAGGTCCCGAGCTCCCTTCGCCCCAAGACCTGTTCCCCCGCCGTTCACTTTACTCTAGGAGGCTGGAGGCCGAGCCAGCTTGACTTCAAGGGCTCTGCTTTCCGGGTCTCCCTCCAGAGGAGCGCGGCAAGTCCGGCTCCTAAAACACGTCCCAGCACGCTGAAGGCACGTAGGGAACGGCCTTTATTATCTTCGAGCTTCTCCGAGAGACCTGAGCTCTCACCTCGGTTCACCGCAGAGCAACGTTAGCCAGTCAAAGGAAGACGAGCGCGTAGGGTTTGGAGACGAGGCTCCAGCCCGGCAGCGTCCTTCCCTCGCAGCACGAACCCGGACTCCGGTCCTGCTGCGCCCGTGCTCGTTCCTAAGCCTCCGCGCGGGTCTCCCCTTGAAAGGAGCCTGGGGGTGCCCTTGAGCTCAAGCAGCGCGGGCGGGGGGCGACCCGCCCAACCACCTGCGGCGCCCG